TCAGTAGTCTTTAATCTGTGTATGTTTTTTATTTGATTTGAAAATTTCTGGGCTGTTTCTCGTTTGTTTCTTATTTTTAACTTGTTGCCATTCCTGTTTCCGGATTTGGGGATCTTGTTGATTATTCTGAGAGTTCTGATACTGCATATTTGTGCGTTGTTGATTCATTTTAGTTTGAATGTTCCGCCTAGTGAGTCCATGGGCTAGGTTTCTCCGGGAGGAGAGCGCCTGCGCGAGTCACGCCGATAAATGGCTGTTCCTGCTGAGCACGGTTGTCGTATAGGTGCTTATAGATTAGGCTGAGTGTTATATTAAATCTACAGGCAATGAGGAGAGACGAAAGACCCTTTCTCTGTATAGAAGAAGGCCCTTTTTTTGGCTAGGCCAGTATCTGCAAGAAGCCGCCCCGCTAGAGGCAGGAATAAAACAGAAACAATTTCAAAGTACAGAGCTACAATTTAGCATGCAAGCTTTTATTCACTCGGAAGCAAAAAAAATGAATATTTTAAAAGATATTTTATGGTTTATGTAAAATTAAGAAATGATTTCAAGCCTCATAACTCGGAAAGTACTTAACGAAAATTAACTTAATTATAATGTTTTGGAAAGCTCTCGAGATGAGTTACAAGAATATGCAATAAAAATTGGGGTTTCCATTTACACAATTCAAGGTGACCTTGACAACACTTTTTACGTGACCTTGACAACACTCTTCAAGATCATACTGATATCGCCACGTAATACGTTACTTGAAACCAACTTTTGTGTAAAATATTTTTGTCTACCGCGCTCAGTTTTTGAAATATTCGGCTGATACGGGTGGTCTGCGACACCCTGTATATATATACACCGTGGCCCATTTTAATCGACGCACCTGAATATCTACGTTGGTAAGCCGAATACAAAAAAATTGTTCAGACAAAAGTTGTATGGTTTCAAGGGGGACATAAGATGGTGTCATTAGTTTGATCTTGAAGAGCCACCTGAAGGTCACGTGAAGGTCAGCTCCAACTTTTCAAATGGGACATTCTATATGCTTTCGCATATTCTTGTAGCTCATCTGAACAGCTTTCCAAAACACTATAATTAAGTTAGTTTTCATTAAATACTTTCCAAGTTATGAGGCTTGAAATCATTTTTTAATTTTACATAAACTGTAAAATATCTTGTAAAATATTCATTTTTCGATTATTTTACCTTAATACTTTTATGTACAAAATAATGAGAAGAATCAATTGGTGTAAAGAAAACACATAATTGTTTCGAACAAAAAAATGTAATTTGCAATTAACAATTACATTTTTTTGTTCGAAACAATTATGTGTTTTCTTTACACCAATTGATTCTTCTCATTATTTTGTACATAAAAGTATTAGGGTAAAATAATCGAAAAATGAATATTTTACAAGATATTTTACGGTTTATGTAAAATTAAAAAATAATTTCAAGCCTCATAACTTGGAAAGTATTTAATGGAAACTAACTTAATTATAGTGTTTTGGAAAGCTGTTCAGATGAGCTACAAGAATATGCGAAAGCATATAGGGTGTCCCATTTAAAAAGTTGGAGCTGACCTTCACGTGACCTTCAGGTGGCTCTTCAAGATCAAACTAATGACACCATCTTATGTCCCTCTTGAAATCATACAACTTTTGTCTGAACAATTTTTTTGTATTCGGCTTACCAACGGAGATATTCAGGTGCGTCGATTAAAATGGGCCATGGTGTGTATATATATATATATGTATATATATATATATATATATATATATATATATATATATTATATATATACAGGGTGTCTGCTAAACATGCGGCAAAAATTCAGGGGGTGATTTATTGGGTTATTTTAAGACTTTTTTGTTATCTGATGATTTTTGAAAAAATGCTTTGTTTCGAAAATAAAAGCAATAAAAGTTTTTTGACCAATTTTTTATTCCATAGATAACAGGCGATACAGGTTTTTTTCAAGTATTAACGTAGTCTAAATAAACGTAGCAAGCTAGTGCAGATGTTGAAAACAATAACAAAATTTGTTTATTTGCCATTGATAGTTAAACTTTTGTTAGTGTTCATGAATTGCTATACGAACGCTGAGATGACTGACATGCATTTCATGTATGGTCTTGCCGATGGAAATTCGTTACGGGCTAGGCGATTGTACATTGAACGATTTCCCAACCGTAATGTCCCTGATAGAAAAACCTTCGAAAGAATTCATCAACGTCAAATTGGTCAAAAAACTTTTATTGCTTTTATTTTCGAAACAAAGCATTTTTTCGAAAATCATCAGATAAAAAAGTCTTAAAATAACCCAATAAATCACCCCCTGAATTTTTGCCGCATGTTTAGCAGACAACCTGTATATACAGGGTGTTTTATTTTAATCCGACCACCTAAATTTCTCGGAACCTAAGCAAGATAGAGAAAAATGTTTTAGACAAAAGTTGTATGGTTTCAAGGGGGACATAAGATGATGTCATTAGTTTGATCTTGAAGAGCCACCTGAAGGGCACGCGAAGGTCAGCTCCAACTTTTTAAATGGGACACCCTATATGCTTTTGCATATTCTTGTAGCTCATCTCAAGAGCTTTCCAAAACACTATAATTAAGTTAGTTTTCATTAAGTACTTTCCAAGTTATGAGGCTTGAAATCATTTTTTAATTTTACATAAACCGTAAAATATCTTGTAAAATATTCATTTTTCGATTATCTTACCTTAATACTTTTATGTACAAAATAATGAGAGGAATCAATTGGTGTAAAGAAAAGACATAGTTATTTTTAAGAAAAAATATGTAATTGTTAATTGCAAATTACATATTTCTTTTTTCGAAACAACTATGAGTTTTCTTTACACCAATTGATTCTTCTCATTATTTTGTACATAAAAGTATTAAGGTAAAATAATCGAAAAATGAATATTTTACAAGATATTTACGGTTTATGTAAAATTAAAAAATGGTTTCAAGCCTCATAACTTGGAAAGTACTTAATGAAAACTAACTTAATTATAGTGTTTTGGAAAGCTCTTGAGATGAGCTACAAGAATATGCAAAAGCATATAGGGTGTCCCATTTAAAAAGTTGGAGCTGACCTTCAGGTGGCTCTTCAAGATCAAACTAATGACACCATCTTATGTCCCCCTTGGAACCATACAACTTTTGTCTAAAATGTTTTTCTCTATCTTGCTTAGGTTCCGAGAAATTTAGGTGGTCGGATTAAAATGAAACACCCTGTATATATATATATATATATATATATATATATATATATATATTTATTTATTATTGTTATTACGACAATATTATAAAATATATATGTACAGAGTGGGAAAAAAAAGGAAAAAAAGTATTGATATTTAAAAAATCTAGGAATTTTAGAAAAAGTCAATATTAAAAAATTATAAGTTATTTTCTTAAGCACCACATTACGTGATTATGTTAATATGATTATTTTGACATTTTTTAATCGGAACTCCTGTTTTTCAAAAAATTTTTAATTTATATCAAGATATCTTCAAAATGATAAGCTTTGAATGAATTCTTTTTAGTTAAGAATTTTTTGAATTATTAATCGCACTTACGATATCGTTAATATTAGCGCGATTTAAGATATCATTAAATATCATAGTGACAAACTACTACAATTTAGAATTTGTATATGATACAAAAATATAAATCCGACTTTGTTATCTTTCATGTGATACATTTTGGATGACTTTAATGCCAGCAATGCTCACAACTCAGGGAATTTTTAACGGAAAATGACTTAATTACAGTATTTTGAAAATGTTCTGACATAAGCTTGAATGCTAAAAGATCATGCAATAAAAAAATTTCCTTAAAAATATCAAAGCGATCTTTACATCTTGACAACACTAAGTCACATTTACATTCCGTAATGCATTGCTTAAAACATTATATGAAATATTTTATGAAACATATAAAATATTAACTTTTATATGAAATATTTTGTTTTGAAATCGATGATTTCCAAAATATCTCTCTTTCATTCCGTTATTTTTTTCCCATTCCGTAAATTTATACAATTACATACAGGGTGTCCCATTTTAAGTGTCCACCCCAAATATCTCTCTCATTTTTTATTTTAGAGAAAAATGGTTCAAACATGTTTTGTATGGTTTCGAGGGGGCCATAAGATGGTATCATTGATTTGACCTTGAAGAGTCATTTGAAGGTCACGTGAAGGTTACCTTAATTTTTTTAAATGGCACCTCTTATTTTTTATTACATATTCTTGTAGCTGACCTCGAGAGCTTTCCAAAACACTATAATAAAATATTTTCTCGTTAAGTATTTTTCGAGTTATGATGCTTGAATAATTTCTTAATTCTACATAAATCATAAAATATCTGGTAAAATATTCATTTTTCGATTATTTTACCTTCATACTTTTATGCACAAAATAATGTGAAAACTCGATTGGTGTAAAGAAAACACATAATTGTTTCAAAGAAAAAATATGTAATTGTTAATTGCAAATTACATATTTTTTTCTTAAAAACAACTATGTTTTTTCTTTACACCAATTGATTTCTCTCATTATTTTGTGCATAAAAGTATTAAAGTAAAATAATCGAAAAATGAATATTTTATCAGATATTTTATAATTTATGTAGAATTAAGAAATTATTCAAGTCTCATAACTCGAAATACTCAACGAAAAAATATTTTATTATAGTGTTTTGGAAAGCTCTCAGCTACAAGAATATGTAATTAAAAATAGGGGATGCCATTTAAAAAAATTGAAGTGATCTTCACATGACCTTCAAATGACTCTTCAAGGTCAAATCAATGGTACCATCTTATGGCCCCATCAAAACCATACAAAACATGTCTGAACCATTTTTCTCTAAAATAAAAAATGAGAGAGATATTTGGGATTGACACTTAAAATGGGACACCCTGTATACAACAGTAAATTAAATCTATGCATTTACATATTATTGTATCTAGAATATATATAAATAACTCACAAATCCATTCTCTTCACATTGATTATAAAATTTAATGCAGATATCCTCAGAAGCTAGATAGAGCGGTATTTGACAGATGCAAAAATAATAGCCTGCAGCATAACCATGCCACAGAGCAGAAAGAGTCAATGTAACGACAGTTCTTAAATTTTTATAAGGGAATCTTTTGTAAATACACACAGCCATCCAATATTGTATGCATGTATTCCACATTTTCATTGTATGTCTAACAAATGGAGAAAATTCCACTTCCCATATATTCATGTTATGTACCGTTTCGAAATTCTGCACCTCCATTTTCGCTCTTTCATGATCAAATGACCTATTGAATTATTTTTAAATCTATTATTTTTCCTTAAATCAATTTTTGCATTCTGTAAGATGTAAAAAGACATAATATTATAAGGATTTCCTAGATTTTCCAAATCATTTAAAGACTATAATATTTTATTAATAATATAATAATGAGATAATAGCAAATTATCTTTGTAGTCAAAATGACTTTAATCAGATTTTAATGATGATATTTTTGATATTCAATAAATATTTTATTTGATAATTACTTTTTACCTATAGCAAAATTAATTGAATAAATGCATTATTATTTATAATTTATGTTACAATAAATTCGATTAACTAATAAAAAAGCAATTTCTTGAATATCTTGAAAATCAGATAATATACAGATTTTTACATATTATACAGGGTGACCCATTTTAACTTAGGCAGCCAAATAACTCGAAAAATAAGCACACTACGAAAAAATGGTTACAATCAAAATTTCGTCATTTCGAGGGGGACGTACAATGACGTTAAAATCAGCCCCCCCACCCCTCCCCCTGGGCGGTGAGGGGGGGCAAATTTGAAATCTTAAATGGAACCCCCTATTTTTCATTGCATATTCTTGTAACTTATCTCGAGAGCTTTCCAAAACACTATAATTAAGTACCTTTTTATTAAGTACTTTTTGAGTTATAAGGCTTGAAATAATTTCTTAATTTTACATAAACCATAAAATATCTAGTAAACCATTCATTTTTCGATTATCTTACCTTCATACTTTTATGTACAAAATAATGAGAGGAATCAATTGGTGTAAAGAAAACACATAGTTGTTTCTAAGAAAAAATATGTAATTTGCAATTAACAATTCCATATTTTTTCTTAAAAACAACTGTATGTTTTCTTTACACCAATTGATTCCTCTCATTATTTTGTACATAAAAGTATGAAGGTAAGATAATCGAAAACGAATGGTTTACTAGATATTTTATGGTTTATGTAAAATTAAGAAATTATTTCAAGCCTTATAACTCAAAAAGTACTTAATAAAAAGGTACTTAATTATAGTGTTTTGGAAAGCTCTCGAGATAAGCTACAAGAATATGCAATGAAAAATAGGGGGTTCCATTTAAGATTTCAAACTTGCCCCCCCTCACCGCCCAGGGGGAGGGGTGAAGAGACTGATTTTAACGTCATTGTACGTCCCCCTCGAAATGACGAAATTTTGATTCTAACCATTTTTTCGTAGTGTGCTTATTTTTCGAATTATTTGGCTGCCTAAGTTAAAATGGGTCACCCTGTATATGAATAATATGAAAAAAAAAGGAGGAAGAAAAAGAGAGAGAAGAAAAAGAGAGGAATAAAAAGGAGAGAAAGGGAAGTATAAAGATATATATATATATATATATATATATATATATATATATATATATATGGTATATATATACAGGGTGGGGAAAAAGTATGGAAGCAAACAATTATTTCCGAAACTATTCATTTTTCGACAAAATGTCTTAGACATAATTTTTATGGTATGAAAAGATGTATTATGTGGCATAGACGGCATGACCTTGAAATGACCCTTACGAGCTGCATACAAATAACGTAAAAAATTTCAAATGGAACTCGTCAGTTTTTGTTACAGATTCTTGTAGCTGATGTCGAAACGTTTACAAAACACTGCATATGAGCCCCATTCCCTTAAAAACACTCCCAGTTACGAAACAATTGTGATACAAACAATTTGTATGCACATTGACATTGCTTACTGCTGATTTCGCATCATGACGTTCAGTTGCGTCCACTAATAACATGTAATTGTACCTGTTGTCATATGATACACTGTCTATGAGTATTCATAGAATTTTTTGGAAGATGAATAGTTTCGGAAATAATTGTTTGCTTCCATACTTTTTCCCCACCCTGTATATATATATATATATATATATATATATATATGTATGTATGTATGTATGTATCTTCTTACGTTATATATCTTTTGTGTGCGTGTGCGTGTGTGTGTGTGTAAAGAAAGTTATCTTACAAATTTTCAACTGTTTTGTAATCGCGAGGTCCCAAACCAGGTATAGGTTGACAGCACACAGGATAAGCTCCTAATCCTGACATTTGGCAAACGCATTCGGCTAGAACCATGCCAATATACATTCTCAATCGAAAACAGGCAAAAGTGGGATACATATAAAAAAATCTGTAAAGGAAACTGAGTTCTTCAAATTCTACTGTTTGCGTATACTGAAATTAAAAGAAGCACATTATTAAATTATAGACTTATAATTATTATTGTATCATTAAATTTACTACAATTATGTATCTCAATTGAGAAACAAAATAGTGCTTATTTTGATGAGTTTCTGTGAACCTGAAGATAAAATATTCAAATTAAAATTTTTGATTTTGACTGAGCAAAATTATTTTAAGTAATTTTTGTTACCTCTGATATTTACTACAAAACAAATAAAATGTATATTGGAAATAAGCATTTTTTAAAAATATTATTAGGAGAAATATTAAAAAACTTTATTTTTTCGTACAAATTATTAATGAATGTAGCTTTTTTGAATAAGTTTTTCAAAATTATTTTCAAGCCAAAGAATCTGCAATTATCTTGCCCGTTTTCTTTATATTTTTCGATCAAATTATCAAGTAATTCTTATATTTTAAAAAGTAACAATATATGTAAAAATATATCAGTATATTTTTTATATGATGAAATTTAAATGCAATTTTTAATTATAAAGTTATATGTTTTCTAATTCTTTATATTGATATGAATGTAAAAATATTACATTGCTAGGAAACAGATGATTCATTATTAAAAACAGCATGATAAATGCTACACTCTGTTTTAGTTTGTAACAAGTAAGTGGCCATGGATCAAGATAATTAGAGAATGGTCTATGTAGAGAATCCCAATATGTTCTGTAACGGTAGTATGGACCTATAAAAATTTAAAGTATAGTTTCTAGTTAATCTAGTTATTTAAAATATTTCCAAACAAGTATAGTTATACAAGTAAAGTTTATCTCCATTTATTTATTAGATCTTACCTGTTAAAACACCCATATAACTAAAACTATAATGTATCACATCCATAAAATCAATTTTTTTGAATGCATCTGAATTTGCTCCTTGAATATCATTGCTCGGTGCTGTAGCTGCCGAATTGATTTCGAATGCTAATCCAGGTAATTTTATTGTCAGAATCATTACAACAAGATTCGTGTAAGTTGATGGATTTGGTAATCCCAAATAATCACTCAATCGGAAGATCACCAGTAAGTAGAAAAAGGAGAAATATAAACTGACTAAATGGCATTTTCTGCAAAATCAAGATCTATTTTAATTTTTTTATGCCGAATTCGAAAAAATCTAGATAATTTTTTAAATATTTTATTAGATTTTATTTTAAAGATTGTCATTTTTTTCTCTCAAAGTATATTTGTAAGTAAAAAGTTACATGGTGAAAACATATATTAGTTTTCCTTTACATTCCAGATTATTATTGCTTAAATTACATATATGAATTGTTCGATTTTGAGTATTGTACTCACCGATTTTGAAATATTTTACTTAAATATGTATCTTAGGATTCTTCATTATATATAATTGTTATATGTGCAATGAAATGATCTTGAGAATATTTTAACTTCATTCATTGCAAATATTCTGAACGAATATAAATTTCGAACTTCAATTAGTTATGAAACCGATAAATGACAGAACTTGTTTCCATTAAAAAATTTATCATGTCTACCAAGAACAAAAATTAGGATACACACATATATATATAGGGTGTCCCATTTTAAAAGTTTCACCCTCAAACTTTTTAAATTTTGATTGTAGAAAAAAATGTTTCAGACAAAAGTTATATGGCTTGAAGGGGGACATAAGATGGTGTCATTAGTTTGACATTGAAGGATTCGGCCATGACGTGTAGGGAGTGACAGGTCAGAAAAGTGTGGTGATATAGAATAGGAAAATGAGGTGGATAAAGGTGATAAAATGAGGAGAGAACTGGAGGAAAGTGAGGGGAGGAGTAGAGGAAGAGGAGGACATGGAGGTAGTGACGGAGGAAAAACAGGAGGGAAATTATGGAGGAGTATAATTATAGTGAAAGTGCTGAGTAAGGAAGAAAGAGGGGAGGAGGGGAAGGGGGTAGGTGGCAAGAGGAAGAGAGCGGTTCAATGATAAGAAGTAATTGGAGAGGGCGTGGGAATAGAAGAGCGAAGGACCGATAAAAGAAAAAAGTTTTTAGAAAAGAGGATAGATGGCGTGAGGAGACGGTCACTAGGGAAGTAGAGAATCGAGGGATCGATGGAGGAATGAAAGTCGCTGGAAAAGAGGGTAGATGGCGTGAGAAGACGATCACTAGGGAAGAATGATCAAGATATCGATAAGTAGACAAGAGTGATAAGACGGAATAAAGAAGCACGTGGTCAGGCAGTGAGTGTGGTCGAGATGACGAAACCGGTGAAGAGTGGAGGCATGGTGGAGGAGTTAAGAGGCATAAGAAGAGCGGTGGAGGAACTGGTGGGAGTCGTGAAAAGAGTGGTGGAAGGATTGGAAGGAGGGAGGTGGGGAGACAGAAGAAGAGGACAGAAGCGGCCGGGAGAGAAGTGGACGTCACACTAAGGGAGACGAAACGGAGGGAGGAAGAGAAGAGGAAGAGAAGAGGACGGAAGAGGAAAAGAAAGTAAGAGAGGAGGAAAGGAAGGTGGAGGGTCAGCATGGAGTGAAAGGAAGAGTGGATGAGACCATGAGGAATAGAAGATAGGGGAAGGAAGGAAGGGGGTATACAAGAGAGAAAGGAAGAAAAAGTAAAGGGGTTAAGGGGGGTGATGTAGGAAGAAGAAAGGACAAGGAGGAGAAGAGGAGAGCGACGGATGGAGATGAAAAGAAGAGGAAGAGAGGGGGGGGGAAGTACGGAAAGGGCAGCAGGGAAAATTGAATTCAAGAAAGAAGAGGAGGAGGGAGAATCTCGGGGGGAAAGAAGTAGGGGGAGTGAAGAAGAGGAGAAAGATTGGTGGTGGTTGGTGAGGGAAGAAGAGGAAAAAAGGAAGAGGAAAAGGGCTAGTGAGGGGAGGGAAGAAAAGAAGAGAGAAGAGCCAAGAAGAGAAGAGAGGAAGCACGAGGAGGAGGGTATGTGGAAGAAATTTGAAGAGAGAAGAGACAGAGTGAGAAGAGAGAAGGAGAGGAAGGAATCAGAGAGGAGGGGTAGGGAAAGGGGGAAGGAGTGGATGATGAGGAGGGAAAGAAGAATGAACGTGGTGTGGAGAGGAATAGAAGGGGGGAAATTCGGAGGAGAGAAGAAGAGTGATGGAGGGAATAGTGGCTGAGGAGTTAGGAAGAAGGGTGGAAATGATCGAGGTGATAGAGAGAAGAGGGACAGCGGGGATGGTGTTAATAGCAAAGATGGAGAAAAGGAAGGATAGGAAGGAGCTATTAGAGAAGGGATGGAAGATAAGGAGGAACTGGGGAGTAGGAATTGATGAGGATTTAACGATGGAGGAGAGGAAAATTAGGTGGAAATTAGTGGAAAGGGCAGAGAGGACTAAAGGAAGGGTGGTTGTGGTTATGAATAGGAGAATATGGGTGGGGGGGAAAGCTTGAGGATGGGACACAGAAAGGAACGAATGGAAGGAGGATGAGGTGGAGACGGAAACGGAGGGAGAAAGTGATGAGAGTTAGGAAAGGGGGGAAAGGGGAAAGAGTAGATGATGGAGGTTAGAAGGGGAAGAGGGTTAGAAGGAGAGGGGAGGATAGAGGAGAGAGGAGGAAGGGCAAAGGAATAGGTTATTATGTTGCAGGAAAGAGCTATAAAGGAGAGAGCACATGATGATAGAGGAAGGAGGAGGAAGATGCATGAAGGGCCCTAAAGACAGGAAGAAGAAAGGGACGGAGGAGTAGTAAAAGGGAGGAGAAAGGAAGGAGAAAGAACGAGAGGAAGCAGGACTGAATGAAGGGAGACACAGAGAGGGAGAAAGAAGGAGTTTTAGGGGGGAGGGTTTTTTGAGGTGAGGAAGAGGTAAGGGTGCATGGGGAGGGAGGGGGTTCTAGAATGTATGGGTCCCAAAATGGCAAGATCGGGAAAATTGGAGGGATTACGATGTAAAGGGTTCGGGAACACTCCCTGCAAAAGCGCCTTGTAAACCCTGAGGGAATATACAATAAATTAATAGAATAGAATAGTTTGACATTGAAGAGTCACCTGAAGGTCACGTGAAAGTCACATTCAACTTTTTAAATGGGACACCCTATATACTTTTGCATGTTCTTATAATTCATCTCGAGAGCTTTCCAAAAAACTATAATAAAATATTTTTTCATTGAGTACTTTTCGAGTTATGAGGCTTGAGATCATTCCTTAATTTTACATAAACTGTAATATATCTAGTAAAATATTTATTTATCTTGCCTTAATACATTTATGTACAAAATAATGAGAGGAATCAATTGGTGTAAAGAAAACACATAGTTATTTTTAAGAAAAAATATGTAATTTGCAATTAACAATTAAATATTTTTTTCTTCGAAACAACTATGTGTTTTTTTTTACACCAATTGATTCCTCTCATTATTTTGTACATAAAAGTATTAAGGCAAGATAATCGAAAAATGAATATTTTACTAGATATATTATGGTTTATGTAAAATTAAGAAATGATTTCAAGCCTTATAACTCGGAAAGTACTTAATGAAAACTAACTTAATTATAGTGTTTTGGAAAGCTCTCGAGATGAACTATAATAACATGCAAAAGCATATAAGGTGTCTCATTTAAAAAGTTGGATGTGACTTTCACATGACCTTCAAGTGACACCTTCAATGTCAAACTAATGTCCATCTTATATCCCTTCAAGCCATATAACTTTTGTCTGAAACATTTTTTTCTACAATCAAAATTTAGAAAGTTATGAGGGTGGAACTTTTAAAATGGGACACCCTGTATATTGTAATTTTTTGGAAAAAAATGAAGGTTTGATAAATAATGTGCTTTACAAAATATCTTTTTTATTTAATATTATTTTATAACTTTATAGTATACAAGAGATATGTTATTATTTCGTGCCACGTCACACGCAACAATAATAATGAGGCGATTGTATGTATACTGCGCGACAATGATCCTGTCCTACGTGGGACAAGGGGAGCGTGGAACTGGCAGCGTAACAGCAGCTGATTGGCCAGTTTTACGCTCCTCTTGCCCCGCGTAAGACAGGATCATTGTCGCGCAGTATACAATATCTATTCAATAAAGTATAATTGATTTGATATATGTGTATATACAGGGTGATTCTAAACAAGCGTGCGTCTTTAAAATATCAAATTCTTGAATGAATTCTAAGACGATTTTTCCTTTACCAAAATTTTCTACGAGGCTTAGTTTTTAAATTATTAAATAAAATAGTTTTCGAGTTACGGAACGAGTACAAAAGGTAGACAGGGACGGCGCAACTCATCGTCCGATACAGGCGATCATGCCCCGCATGTACTCGTTCCGTAACTCGAAAACTATTTTATTTAATAATTTAAAAACTAAGCCTCGTAGAAAATTTTGGTAAAGGAAAAATCGTCTTAGAATTCATTCAAGAATTTGATATTTTAAAGACGCACGCTTGTTCAGAATCACCCTGTATATGTGTATATATATATATATATATATATATATATATATATATATACAGGGTGATTCTGAACAAGCGTGCATCATATATATATATATATATATATATATATATATATATATATACATATACATATATAATTTACATCTTATGTTAATATAATCGTAAAATCTACAAGAAATTTTCTTAAAAATAAAGAATTTTTCAAATATGCAATTTAAATAGTACAGTTAATAACATACTATGAAAATATATCGATAAATGATATAATTAAAATAATTAAAAGTAAACAAAAAATATTTTAATTTGGCACTGACTCAAGTAATTTTTATATTTTTCAATTTTTAAATATTTGATATAATAATATAATTTTTTTATCTTTATGAGTCAAAACCTTATTTTCTATTTCCATAATTAGCGCCACGTAGATTAAATTTTTTTATTTAATTATTTAATTATATTTATTTAATTATATAACATCTTTTTTATATTTTGAAAATTACTTATCAGAAAATATGTATACCTCATGTGTTTACAATTATATACATTACACAAAATAATTAGAGTATCACTTTAAAACTTGTAAAAGTTTTATCGTTTTAAAGTTTTTTTCAACTTCGGAAAATTCTAAGATAATTCTTCTGTATTTTAAAAGATGAAGCTTCGATTTTAAGATCGCTAGGGAAACATTTTT